TATGAGCAATATCACCCGTGAGAAACACTAAGTATAAACACCAAAAACTGCACCCATCTATACCAGATGGCACTGGGATACATAAAACAGTGTGCCCCTCGAACATCTAACACAGCCATCATGTGTGGCACAGGCATAACATACAGGGAAACAGAAAAGAACTGAGAGGCCACAAATAAAATCAACTGATTTTTGACAAGGGTACCAAGACCATTCAACGGGAAAAATAGCCACAACTGGTCTTGGAACCACCGAGCAGTCATATGCAAAAGAATGAAGGTGGACCCTTACCTGAAAACATATACAAAAACTCACACAAAATGAATCAAAAACCTGAATGTACGAGCTAAACTTTTAGAAGAAAACAGAAATAATCTTCATGACCTTGGATTTAGTAATGAATTCCTAAATGCAGAAGCAACAAAAGAAAAAAAAAGAAAAAATTGGACTTCATCAAAATTAAAACATTTTGTGTTTTAAAGGTAACTATTAAGAAAGTGAAAAGACAGCTTATAGAATGACAGAAAATATTTGCAAACCACGTATCTGATAAAGGGGCTATAGCTAGCATATATAAAGAACTACAACTCAATAATAAAAAGAAATAGCCCAATAAAAAAATAAGCAAAGAATGTGGAGACACACTTCTCCAATGAAAATATACAATGGCCAATAAATACATAAAAGATTTTTGACATTAGTCACAGGGGAAACACAAATAAAAAACATGATAGGATGAAACTTCCCACAAGGATAGTGAAAACCCAAAAGTCAGATAAAAAGTATTGTTGAGGACTCTCAAATGATGTTACAACAATGGTGCGGCCACTCTGGAAAAGTCTGGATTAAACATGGAGTTACCATAGTGACCCAGCCTAGAACTATTCTTAAACAAAAACATATGTCTACACAAAGACCTGCAAACAAATGTTTACAGCAACTTACTCATAATAATCAAAACATAGAAAGAAACCAGATGTCGATGAACTAATGAATGAGTAAATAAAATAAGGTATACAATAACATACAATGGAATGTTATTCAGCCATAAAAAGAATACATGCTATAATATGAATGACCCTTGAAAGCATTACAGTAAGTGAAAGAAATCAGTCACAAAACCTATACACTGTATGATTCCAAGTATATGAAATATCTAGGATAGGTAACCCCAAAGAAACCATAAGAAGAGCCGGGTGTAGTGGTGCACACCTGTAATCCCAGTACTCGGGAGGCTGAGGAAGGAGGATCATTGTGAGTTTGAGATCAGCCTGGGCTACAAAGTGAGCTCAAGACCAGCCTGAACTGCATAGCGAGACCCTGTCTCAAAAAGAACCCCCGCACCAAAAGAAGAAAAAGAAACCATAGAAGATTAGTGGTTGCTTGAGGGTTGCAGGGAGAAGTCGATAAGGAAGTGATAACCTAAACCAGTGGTGGTGAACCTATGGCACGTGTTGTTTTACTTTTAAAACAAAAGATGTTAATGTAGTAGATGTTCTTCCTAAACTAAAACCTCAGTAATCAGGTTCAACTGTGATGTTGGCACTTTGTAATAAATAACTGGGTTTTGAGTTGCAGTTTGGGCACCCGTCTCTAAAACGTTCACTATTACTGACATAAAGGATATAGCACTTCTTTTTAAAGTGATGAAGGGGTAACTCACTCGGGCCTTCCTTTTGTCCCTCTCTTGGACAGCTTTCTTTCCCTCAAATATACTCTGCTCTTAATCTCCATTGTTCCTAAAATTCATTCTTCAATTTTAGAGAACACGAACTCATCCCAGATATCATTCAGGTTGGGAGTTTTTATTTTCCTGTATCATTTTGGAGTTCCCCACCGGGATCCTTGGACAGAAATGTAAAGCTATACACCTACCCAAGATGAAAACGCCTGGTATTTATTAAGAGCCTTTAGATAGACCCTCTGGAGAGTATCTCTGACTGCCGATCAACAACTATGACCCCTTTCAGCATGAAGAAGCCAGAGCGGTCAACGCCCGTTACTTCCTCACGGCAGTTCACGTTACTTCTTCCGAGAGGGCAATGTTATAGGCAGCTGAGTTAGAAATATTATAGGCAGTCAGACAGGGCCAGGCCCTCAAAGGAGCCAACATGAAAGATGCGTATTTGCTGTGGGCCATACCTCAAGACAAAGGACTAAACAAATGCACTCACACACCTCCCTAGGGATGGACATCAGGGATTGCTATTCTAAATAGGCAGCCATCACCTTGAAGAGTCCCTGACCCAACCCCTTACAGGAAAAGCCCCTGTTCTGTATTCATGCCCTCTCTCGTACCCATCTGATCCCAATTTAATCAATTTTACCTGAACAATTCTTATTGGCTGATCACAATTTTGTCCATTTTTCCCCTACCTTGGACCCACCTCACCTCATGGTTTTGCTCTATAAAAGTCCCCAGGAAAGACAGAGTCTTGGGCAACCCACTCGGGACCCCTTCTGTCCCTCTCTTGGACAGAAGCTTTCTTTCCCTCAATAAATATGATAGGTTTTTCCAGTGCAGACAGAAGTAAAGCAGAATAAAATGCCTTTATTGTGGGTGTGGAGAAGACCACAAGGAAGACAGACATGGATCTTTGGAGGGCCTGTCATGGCATCAAAGGTTAAACAGCCCCAAGCTGGAGGCAGGGTTTAGGAGGTGGACCACCTGACATGGCAGACCAGGATTGAGCAGGAGCATGGGAAAAGGAAACAGGATATTACAAAAAGGGAAGTAGGAAGTTGTAATTTGACTCAGAGGAAGAGAGGTGGGGCTTAGCACATGACCTCTAGTGGCCAGCGCCATACTGGCTTGGTGCCATACTGGCTCAATGCCACAGCACACGACCTCCCGCGCCATATTGGCAGGATGCCAGAGTGACTTGGTAGGAATTACAGTGAGGCGAAAACCCATCAAAATAGAGTCTGCTTTTAAAAAAATAAATAAATAAAAAAGCAATGAAAATTCTGAAATTTTAAAATTGACTCTGGTGATAAGTCTATGAATATACTAAAACCCATTAAAATTATACCCTTCAAGTAAGTGATGTGTAAAGTATATGAATTATATCCCAATACTAGTAGAGTATTTAAAAAAAAAAAAAAACAACAGGGCCAGCACTTAGGAGACTAAAGCAGAAGGATCGCAAGTCTGAGACCCACCTGGACAACTTAGTGAAACCTTCCCTCAAAATAAAGGACTAGCGGGGCAGGGATATAGCTCAGTGCCATAAGTGCCTGCCTGGCAAGCGCAAGGTCCTGAGTTCGATTCCTGGTACCAAAAAATAAAATAAAATAAAGGGCTAGGGATGTGTCAGTGTGAAACCTTGTCACTGAGTTCAAGCCCCAGTACTATAACAACAACAAAAAAACTAGTCTGCCTGTGTTGTCTGGGTTAGCCTTAAACTCCTGGGCTCAAGTGATTCTCTACCTCAGCCTCCCAAATGTTTGGGACTACAGGCATGCACCGCTTAGCTTCAATATGCCTAGCTTCAATACTTCTTTTAAAAAACCACCTCTACCTACCTCAGTTTACTGAGTATCATAAGCCAGTGCAAAGCCATCCATCCATATCTGATGTTAACTTTTGGTCAGATTTTTAACAATCATCCTTCAAAATGCACAAGAGTAACTCATAAGAGACAACTCTTCCCTTATCTACTTCCAAAAGCAAAGTACAAGTCTTTTCATAGGAAAAAAGCCGTATTTAATGTAATATTTATAGGTTTTAACCAAATAATATGTGTAAAATTGTGCTACCTTTTTTTGTTTGTGATGCCTTAGGTTGAACCTAAGGCCTCATGTATGCTAGCAAACACTCCACCATGGATGTACACCACCCACGCTTTTTATTTTGAGATGGGTCTTGCTAAATTGACCAATCTGGCTTCAAACTGGCCTCAGCCTCTGAAGTAACCAGGATTACAGGGAAAAAGTCAGTAGTTTTTGCAGTCAAGTTACCCAACATGATCCTCTACTCTCCTTGGGTCTATTTGTTTCCTTCCAAATCCCACAAAGATACCAAGTTCATGTAAGTTTCCATGATTTCATTCATTTCTTTTCTGATCCAAGTCTATTACAGATCACTCTCCTCTCTAGTTCTACTCTTTACTGATCCCCTACTCCTCTCAGTTTCTACAGCACAGATTGTTGGATTCCTACAATTTCAGTCTCATACTGTTTGTTCATTCCCTTTTTATTCCTTGAACATACGAGGTCTTCAGGGGAAAAAAATCTTCCTAATATTTTGGAATACACGTAGAGCTTAGCATAATGCAGAGCTCAGAGTAAGTGCTCAAGAAGCTTTTACTGCGGGGTGATGAATAAGCAGAATTTTGAGCACTAAATTATTTTCTGGTTTTCTTAGTTAGAATTCAACCATTTCCAGTATATATCATTGCAAAACGGGCTGGGGATATAGCTCAGCGGCAAAGCGCCTGCCTGGCAAGCACAAGGTCCTGAGTTCAATTCCCAGTACCAAAAAAAGAAAAGATGAATTTACCATTACAAAGCCTCTGAAGCAGCTAAAATTTTAACTTGGTTATGCTGAAAATATATATAGCTGGTAAGCTAAGGAAATCTTGTAAAACTTGCACTCTAATATCTTACCATGACAAAGGCTAAATAAGAAATTATTGTCGTTGCACAAAACATTCTTAGATTATGGACTCCATTTCTACATTATGAAATGGATGTGAGCAATTTTATTTGTAGCACTTTCTTGTGGTGCCACATTATCCCAGTAGCTTTCAAAGCTTTATTTTGGTTGAAGACACTGTTTTTCTTTTTCAAACAAAAGGCTAAGTAGAATTCTATCACATAGGAATAAGCAGAGCTAATTTTGCTAACATGGAGGGTGCAGCCTGTATTTCTCTGTCTGCTTAAGTTCCTCTCAAGCTGTCCATTCTTTGTCCCCATTCATTACATACACTGATCCCTTTTGACATCTGTGAGAATTATACAAACGACTAATATCAATATAATACAAAATTAAAACTTACCCATTTTTACTGAAAACTCTCAGCCATGCTTTGAGGTTTGGTCCTAACAGACATAAACAAGGTACAGTAGTAAAAGTAGACAAAATAACTGCAAATAAAAATGTTTCCAACACCAACCTAGAAAGAAAAAACTTTATTAATGTTTTAAAAACATGTTAAAGGTACATACACATGCTTTACTATAAAAATACTTTGTTATACTTTACTTTAAAAGACTATGTACATCCCACAAAAATGATTATAAATGATTTTACTACTGAAATACAAATTTTAAAAGCCAATGCAGCAAATATCTGTTAGTGATCAATTTCAGAAATGTTAAAAACCCTGACATACTAAGATTTCCAATGCAAGCAACCTAATCCTAACTAGTTTTTCTGAACAGTCTCTGGAACTTTCTCTACAGCCAGTAGTTCAACATTTAACTGATTTTAGAACTACCTGGAGAGCCTAAACAAGAGATTGGAAGCCTCTTCCCCTAAAATTTCTGGGTGAAGCCCGAGAAGTTGCATTTGCTAAAATGTTGACACTACCAGAGCAGTGGCACATGCCTAAAATCCCAGTTAATCAGAAAGCTGAGGCAGCAGGATCGTAACTTAGCCAAGGCAATACAGAGCCTGCTGGAAGGAAGAAAGGAAGGAAGGAAGGAGATGCTGAGAACTTTTGCTTTTTCATTGGGAGAACTATTGTTTTTTCTTTTATTCTACTCTAAGATGATTAGATAGAAATTATTATTTCCCACAATAAAGGTCTTCTCCTCTGTCTAGAAAAGAATAACCCGTTGGTTTAATATACGTATATACAATTATATATAAATATACATATGTAACTATACATAGCTTACTCTCTATATATATGTATACATATTTCACTCATTTTGCCATGATCACTATAATAGTTAACAATATGCTAAACTGTAAGAGTTTCCCGAAATAAACAATTACATAAAAAATACACACAGATTTAGTTTCCACTAATTTGAACTTGGTCAGTTTTTTAAGAAGTATTGAGTTAAATTTTACCTATGAACATCTTAATTAACTATCTGAACACAGGGCTCTATTGACTTTCCTTAGGATCACATGTACTTCAGAATCACATTTACAAAGAACTGATACGCTAATTAGAACCAACTTAAACGTATCATGGTAGTAAGTTCCCTCAGAAGTTCTAAAGCCACATCCTGGTTAATATAGTATAGTTTCTCATCTTCCCTTCCTCTTCCCAACACACAGTTGGGTAGCAGAAGGCTGGGTAATAGGAGCATTTAATAAATTAAATTATTCGCGTTTTTTTTAAAAACGATAACAGTGCTAAATTGCTACCCTACTCTGACCCATTAATTAAACCCAGCATGGCTGTTCCCTAATTGCCAACAGAGTTAGCAGGTTGTTTAGTAAATGACTATTTTAAAATCTGAAGCAAAAACTTCAAACTTACTCAACTAGTGGTGCTCCATACAGAACAAAAACCACATGAAGGGAGAAACAAGACACAAGGAAGTAGATACAGCATTTCAAAAATCTGGTTACCTGGAAGAGAAATAAATCATTTGAAGACTGAAGAGAAGGGCAATACATTCTTCCATTTTATCTACAAATACAGCCTGTTCCCATATGTGTGAAACAGCTGACTGCTCTTCGGTGGGGAGCCTCAAGTCAAACCACAAAGCTTATGCGCAGTCACACACGGCTCTCATTACATCTGTAAGAAAGCCCCAAAGGCAAATATCACCCACACCTGTATTCTACCGACCTAACCAACGTGAGAATGAAAAGATTTCCATTTCTAAATGTATTATTTCATTCATCAATATTTGTGAAATATTTATTGCTGACAGAATATTAAGATACAAAGAAGTGTTATCATGTATCATTACACATGAAATGTCTCAGAAAATGAGGGATACTTTTTTTTTCATTTTAAACTCCTGGGCAAACTGCACTGGAAAAGCAAAATCTCAAAAATTTTCCACATCACATTCACATTACTGTATGAACCATATGAAAAAAAGATCTGAATATCTCCTAATAGGCTCGTGTGTGGGACTTACTAGATTTGAGTCTTAAGATAAAATTATAAAACATATGTTAAGCTTTTAAAAGCACAAAGCAGTAACAGAGAGCTTATACACAGTATGGAACGTGAGGACTTCTTAATTTAAAGTAATAATCTCACATTACAGTACAGTGAATAAAACTGATTCTAATATCTGAAAAGTTTTAACTGCTTAGTCAGGAAGGCCGTGTTTAAAATACGTCACCACAGTGACTAATTTTGTAATTTCTGAAAAACTCACTATCTTTCAGAAATGCAAAAATAAAATAAACTCAAGGTCTTCCAAAGTAAGGTTTAAAAATAGATGGCCACAGGTATTTATCTTCAATGATGACATAAAACAATGATTATACAGGTTGAATTACTACACTATCCGTGGAAAAAGTCGTAATTTCAGAATTAATGCATGGCAAGGATGCATCAAACACTGGGCCAATGGACAGCAAGTAACAGGCTACTGTCTGAAAAAAAAAATCACATACCCTTTGCACATTATAAATAACCTGAGGACTTGAATAATACCTATTCTTCCATTAAAAGAAGCACCACCTCCACCCAAAAGTTGGTTATTAAGTAGTAATCCTTACCTTATGTGATAATGAACTTCTTTTAGAAGATGTATTTGGCTTTGGTACTAAATATAACACAAGATTGATTGAAATTACAAAAAGAGAACAGATGCACAACCATGTCAAGTGCGTGTCCAATATTGAGAAATTCTCCAGGAAGAACGATGGCAGAAGGACACTTAGAATCACTGAAAAGATGCATAGAAAATGAGCATATAGTAGTGTCTTGATATCAGTTTCTTTCATGGTGTTTTTATGGTTGGCTGTCTAAAGAAAAACAAAGAAAAGAAAAACACATAACAATGACTTTCCCATTGTCCTAAGTACTTAAATTTCTAAAAATAAGCCATCAGCTAAAGTCTACTTTCTATAGTAAATTTGTTTCAAAATATCCCGTATTACATTGGTGTGGTACAAATATCTCTCAGAACCTAAAAAACAAAAAACTACTAATTTCTTAAATATTTGTAAAGACTTTCTGCCAAAAGGTCATGCATTAGGAATAATTAAGCAATTCGTTTTACTTTTTTTGGTCAAAATCGTAAGAGTGGAAATCAATTGCCTGGGTTAAATGGTCTTCCCATTTGGAAATATAACCTATGCAGTCCAGATACCCCATGAGCACATTTTGGTTAAATTGTTGGTGTTTTCTATTCCTAACATCATAGTTTACATTCTCCACAAAATACCAAGTACACACTTAATAATCAAATGGGGATTACGGCAATGAAGAGTTCGACGGCCGTTATGTTACTCTGTGGGTTTCCAATGTTCCAGAAATCGAGATCGTCTGACTGCGTTCATCTGCTATCACTGTTAAAAGCCAGGCCACCTCAAGAGGAACTGCCCTAAGAGGCCCCATGGGCCATGCCCTGGATGCAAAGGTGACCACTGGAGATCGGTCTGCCCTCTGAAGCAGAGGCCCCAGAGCTCAGACCCATGCTACCAGTTAGTCCAACAGGAATGAGAGGGCTTGGGGCATTCTCTGCCTTCTCCCTCTGGCCAGACTGTCATCTCCATAGAGGAGTCCTGGGTAATCATGACTATGGAGGAAAAAGAAAACAGCCTGCTGCTAGACACAGGTGCAAGTCTCTCAGTCCTTCTTTTCAGTCCTGGCCTTCCTTCCAGCCGTCACACCTCAGTGACAGGGGTCACTGGTAAGAAGGTAATATGCTATATTTGACAACCCTTAGGCTGTAACTACTTGTTAGATCCTTCCTGCGTATCTCTGTCTTCCTGAGAAACCACTTTGAAGATACCACCATGTATTACAGCAGCCATTGATATTTTCCTACTAATCTATCCATAATTCTGTAATGTTTGTATTGTTCCTATCTTATTTCGTAAATGGATGCATGTTTATTATTATGTGTTTCCTACAACAACCGCTGAGAATAGTTAATGATTATTCAATAGGTCACTCATGTATAGCTCTATTTATTTTCTTTAGAAGCCACTTTGAAGCTACCAAAGTATAGTACAACAAGTATTGATAATCTCCTACCACTTTTGTCTGTAACTCACCATTATTTGTCTGTTTTCCTGAGAAACTATCTTGTAGATAACAATATGTAAAACAATAACCATGGATAATTTCCTACCACTTTAATTCCGTAAGCCCCCCCTATTATTATGTTATCCTTCTTTTACTCTTTAAAAAAAAAAAAGAAAGAAAGAAAGAAAGAAATCGAGATGTCTGCTGCAGGTACTAAATTCCCATCAAAAGTAGAACACGAGTAGAAGGAAAAAAATTGTCTCTAAACTACGCATATTATATTTCAATTACCTAACAGAGAGCTTATACATTGTATTGACTAACGTTAAGTAACGACTTTACGACTTTATTAAAGTAATAGTTCACGTTACACCGTGGTGCGACAGTGCACACACACAGAGTTGGAGGAGGAGGCACCCAGTGAAAGAAGAAAGGGTGAATATGCGCGTTGTCCTGACTGCCTTCATTTAATTCACGATCATTTTTCAGAAGCAAACACTTTACCGACAAGGAAACAGGACGAACAAGCTAAGAGGCACATCCAAGGCCCCACGCGCTAAACCCTTCCCCAAGTCCAGCCTCTTTAATCTGAAGGCAGACTCCACGGTCGGGAAGAGAACGGATGTAAAAGGGACAAAGGAAAAGGTTCGCGCAGATTCTCCACTCCCCATTTCAGGTGGGGCGTGGGGGGCCGGAATCCATGCTCGCAAGAGAATCGCAAGTGCCGTCAGCACGGGAACCTAACAGTGAGCGAGCGAGCGGCACCCAAACTCAAAGGCTGGCTGCGCGAAGCAGAAGCGCGCGGGTCCTCGGAGCCGGCACTGTCACAGCCCGCGCCGCCCCGACAGCGGCGGTCACCGGAGCTGGCCCGGGTCCGCAGGCCCAGGAGGGGGACGCCGCCCCGCGGGGCTGCCGCCTCCGGACCACTCGGGGTCGCTCGGGCCCTACCCCAGCCTCAGGCTCAGCTGGCCGGCGACGAGCAACCAGCGCGGGGGCACAAAGAGCGCACACGCTCTGGACACGACGGGGAGGCTGCGAGTCAGCGAGCCACACTCAGGTGCCAGGCAGGCTTCGGGGCAGCGCCCGGGTCACGCCCGACGGGTGGCGCTCACGGCCGAGGGACGCCGGCCAGCCAGAGCATGGAGGCTCGCGGTCACTCCGGCAGTTGGCCGGCTGGCGTGCACCCACCCAGGCGAGCCCAGCGTGCCAGGGGTTTCCAGCGGGGCTTACCTAACTCTCCCGCCCGCGGAAGGGAAGGAGGAGCTACAGCCTCCCACCATCAGGTGCGATGGGCTGCCTTGGCCTTCGCGCAGGCGCAGGCTCTGGGGGCGGGGACCCACAGCCGTACAGCCAATCACAGAAGGGAAAGGGCGGGCCCACAGGGCAACCCCGCCTACCCGCGCGCGTTCATTCCTCCCGCGGCTTTGCAGGTGAGAGATAGGCGGGAACGGAAGACTCAGAGGCCGGAAGCGGGCTGACGTAGGCGGAAGAGGAACCGTGTTCTCCTAGAGTGTTGATGTTTTCAAGCTGCCGGAGCTTCTGCGGCTGAGGGAACAGTCGGGGGAAGGATGGTGTGCGAAAAATGTGAGTTAAGAGCTCGTTTATGTGGGAGGAGGCTGGGAGTACTTAACTAGATCTCGGGAACTTGGCCCTGTGTGACTTTCCTTCAGGTCTCTGATTCCAGCCTTTGTCCCCCTACCCTGCCCTGTGATCATTCTTGCGCCTCGCCAGTAACCGTGTAGACCTATGTATTTTGTGTTCGGAATGATCTCAGTTCTGTCCCTTGTGGTCTATTTCCTTGGCGGCCCCCTAACTCCAGATCTCAATTACAGCAGCCTCTTAGCTGGCTCCCTCAGGCTTCAAATGAATTCTCGAAATCATTTTGTTATCATCTAGAGTTGTCAGATACAAAATCAATAAAAAATCTGGACTCTCAGTTGAATTTTAATTTCAAATGAACAGCGGATAATTTTTCAGCACCGTATGTCCCGTGCAATATTTGAGGCTTGACTTTGTTTGCTCTTCCTTAATACTGTGTAAGTGCCTCCTCCTATGCAATGTTTAGTGCATAATTGACTAAAAACAGTATTAGTTTCTGAAGTTTAAATTTAGGTGGGCATCTGTATTTTACCTGGCAGTGCTAAGCCACCATGCCATCTAATGTCTAGTAAACTCTGGGCATGAATGCCTAGAGCGCTGGGACGGGAGTGTGGGAAAGTCTCACCGTCTCAAAAGCCTATTTAGGCGTTCCTGGCTTTTAGTACAGACTTTCCTTCCTACAGTTAGCACCCAGTAAGTCTAAAGCAAACTCTTGAGATTTCTAGAAAGTGTTTAATTTTTTAAACCTCCCAAGCTGTTTATATGGTTAAAATCAGCTTTCATATCGCCAGGTCGTCTTTCTCCAGCTAGACGTATCTGAGCCTTCTGTGAGGAGGTTTCAACTTCTCTTACTATCCTAACTATTGCTTAGTGAGCAGGATCCATTTTGCTTATAACCCTTCTGCAGATAAAGCTTTGGACACAGACACCCATGGATTTAATCAGAACTCCTAGGTAAAAGAATGTGTATGAACAAGCTACTTAATATTTCTTGGCCCCTATTTTCTCATCTGAAAAATGAGAATAATACATAATTCGTGGAGTTTTGTGAAATTTAAATGAATTTAATGTAGATAATGTCTAGTATAAAAGTGCCTTAGTGTATACTCAAAAGCTGATTATTTCTACCCTGGCCTCCCCCAGTATGTGACCTTTGGACTTAAACTCTGCTCCAGTCTGTGTGGGGAAGAGTGCAACTAATACCTCCCTCTTTGTAGGGTATGTGCCGTATACCATAGTTGTCTTACATTCAGCTTTAAAAAAAAACAGTGAGTTTAGTTCATACACCATACAATTCACTCAATTGAAAAGTACAGTTCAGTGGTTTTTGAAAGATTCACAGGTGCTTTGCAACCATGACCACAATCAATTTTAGAACATTTTCATCACTCAAAAGACACATTATGCTTTTTGTCATTGACATCCCTTAACTCTACTCTGTCCTTAAACAGTTATTTTGGGTTTTGTGTGTTTCATTAAATGTAGTTTAAATGTCTTTAGCCTATACATCTTCCCTGATGTCTTTTAGGTTATACAGTTCTTACCTGTGTAAATTTGTAGAGGTCTTTTGGTTTTGTTTTTGTTGTTGTTGGTTTTGTTTTACAAGTGCGTATATTTTAACTTTAGAAGGCTAAAATTCTGCCTGGTTTCACCTGATGTTTGTAATTCTTTCTATATTATAATCGGAATTCTTTTTATATTATAATTCTTTTATATTATTACTTTGTCCCAAGGAAAACTGAGGGTACAGAGAAGTCCCAACATACATAAAAATTTTGAGTATCCAAGATTCAATATGATATTAAAATACATACACTTGGTTCTGGAACATGATGTGTGTCATTAGTGGTCATTGCCTCTTCTACGTTTTACTTCTCTGCTCTTCTGAAAATCTGACCTTTAAATATTTTTAATCTCCAATCTGTCATCTCCTTGCACTCAGCCTATAAATAAGCTGAGATGTCATTCAGGCATAAGGCTGCAGTCTGAGGCCACTATCTTAGTTCTCCCTTTCCCTGTATCGTAAACTGTTTTAAAGACTCGGTTATGTGTGTCACTTCCAGAAGTTCATCAGTGATCTCCTAATCGCTAAGGTCAGGATTTTTCTTTTGGTCTTACTTTATTCTGAATCTATCTGACTGTCTTGGAAGTACATGGCTTCAACATATCCTTAGCAGTCACCTCCCAAAAGTGCGCACACGCAAACACACACACACAAGTTTATGTACAGCCGCACCTTCTTTAGATATCTCCTAAGACCCACCTACGGAACCCAAGTTATGGACTACTTTTAGAGAAATTAATGAACTTATGTGTAATCTCCCTAAAATCTTTTTCTGATTTATGGTTTTATTTTTCTGAAGACTTTCTATAGTGGTTTATATTATTATAGATGCTTAGTAAATGTTTGTGGAATGAACAGATTATCAAATTTGTTTAAAGCATTAACAGTGAAAGCCTATCGTAAACCATCTTACTCTACAGATTGTACTGAAGGTCGTTTAATCATTGTGCCACCTTAAATATCTGGAGTCTCAGTTCACTGGCCCTTACGTCAGCATTAACAAGCCTCTACTGCAGTATGACTGCTGATACCATTCTGAACCTCAAGTATGAGATAGTGTATTTATTATACTAAATCATACCTCTCTTTTTTCTGTCTTGTTATAACAGGTGAAAAGAAACTTGGTACTGTTATTACACCGGACACATGGAAAGATGGTGCGAGAAATACCACAGGTATTTTTCCTTTTCTAGTAAATAGAAATTGAATCAGACACTTAGTGAGAATACTGTTTTCGCTTTTACATTTTTTATAAAATGCAGTTATGTGTTCAATTTATTTCATGTATTAAACACTAAAAAATACTGGATCCCCCAATGATTTAATATTTTCTGCTTAGTTCTCTCAGTTACATGTATGGGTCCCTAATATAGTAGGCAGGAGATAACAAAATTAATGAATGATTTTCAAGTGATGAGTGCATTTCAGTATTTGACTAAGCTCTTAATGTTCTATTTAATGTCCCCTCCTCACCTGATTTTTTTTTTGTACTGGAAATCGAACTCACAACCTTGTGCTTGCCAGGCAGGTCCTGTGCCGCTGAGCTATATCCCTGACCTTCCTCACCTGACTTACATTTTTGAACAAATCTAAACTGCTTTCACCCTCACTAACATTAAATACGTATAGTACGTTTTCAAAAGGAAGGAAAGGAATTACTTTCTTATAATCAAAGTCTATGACACCAAGATAAAGGCTTCTAGATTTTATAGTAGAGAAAATATGGACCCATTGCTAAAGTATTGATTTGAATCTGAGACCTAAAATGATTACATTTTATGAAAATTTTCATTTCCCTAGTAAATAATTGTTTTAAGTAGTACCTTAAGAACTTGTTTATTAAATGAAGATTTTAAAAATTTAGATATAGGATATTCTATTGGTAGGCAATCAAAGTATGAACTTTTAACTAATTGCTAGATAGTGGATGTTATGTTAAATACACAGAAGTAACTCACGAAAATATATGTATATTTTGATATAGAAAGTGGTGGGAGAAAACTGAACGAAAATAAAGCCTTGACTTCAAAAAAAGCAAGGTAAGTATGAGCATCCATTAGAACAGTAGTAACTTTCTAGTCCTTTTTAAATAGTGAAGGCTGCTGGAGAGAGTTTGTTGTGCATCATTCCATTGTGATGAAACTAGAGTTAGGTAGTTCCTAGCACCCAGAGGCAGGCTGTTATAACTTGGTAGTTCCCTTTGTTGTTCTTTGCTGTTTCAACATATGAAGATATTAATACTAATTTTTTATGTGATTTTTTTTTTTTTTTTTACCAGAAAGCATGACTTTTATTTTACCTGTTTCTTAGTTGTTCTACAAATCAAAGACAACAGTGAGAAAATCATACATAAGTTTTAGAGTCAGTCCTAAATTGGAATCTAGATTCTGTCCCTTTTAAACCTGGTTACCATAAGCAAATTAAACCAGTTTCTTAACCTTTCTGAACTTCGCGTTTTCACCTGAGAATGGGCAGTAAAAATTCTCCTATCTTAAAGACAATTCTTGACACCATGCTAGCCAGTCCTAAGAATTCCGTGAACCCTTGTCCGTGCTTCTTTTCACATCAGAAGTTAGCTAAAGCTTTAGCGAGACCCTTTCCCAGCATCCTTAAGTCCCGTTCTCTCCTTCAGTCACTCAGGTCATACTTACAGGCCAGAAAGTGCCCTTGTTAGGATCACAAGTGTCCTGTAAAGCTGATGGCCACGTCTTTATTCTTACCTTATTTCACCTCTACTAAGTCTTTTTGGCAAGCCTTTGTTCTCTTCCAAGATGCCCCGCTGTCCCGGTTTCCTCCCACCTCTGGCCATTCCTTCTCAATCCAGTGCCTCAAGACTCGATCCTAGACTTGGTTTTGTTTTGTTTTTAATAAACTCTCCTGAAGTATCTTTAGTCCATTGGCTTTAAATCAGAAGTACACCCTCCAAATCAGTAACGCTGATCTGACTTCTCCGAGCGCTAAACCTGTGTCTAATTGCTTATCTGACTTATCCTATTTGATGTCTAAAAGCAATGCCTTTTTTCCTTCAGTCTTCTCATTAGAGCAAGTGGCACCACCATCCAATCCAGTTGTTGAAGGCTAGAAGCTACTCGTTCTTCTCTTTCCCCCACTTCCCATATTCATCAACAACGGCCTCTTTGGATCTACCTTTATAAAAGTATAACAAGTCCACCTGTTTCTGCCCATTTCATTATTACCCTGCCATAAACCACTGTTATTTCTTAGTTTGTACAGAAATAATTTCTAGCGATTTCCCTTTTTCTTTTGTCTATTGTCTCATAGCAACCAGATCGGTATATTAAAAGGTCATGTAGTTCCTTTCCTTCAAACCATCCCGTGGGGCAGAAGTGTATCTCTGGTAAAGCTCCTGCCTAGAGTACACAAGGCTTGGATTCAGCCCCCAGCACCAGGAAAAACATAAGTAAAACCAAAACCCTCCAGTGGTTTTCTTTTCCTGACAGAATAGAATCTAAGCCATATACATGTTCTACAAGGTCTCCATGAAAGAACATCTCTTTCTGTTCGACGTATTATACCACACTCTGCTCATTCATTGTGTACCATCCTCGTTAGAGATGTCAGGCCCACTCGTGACTGAAGAGATTTGTGCTGACTGGCCCCTCCCAGGCTACCGCCTCAGTGTCACCTCCCCAAATAAGAGTCCCTAACCAACACTTGAGCAAATCTTTTCTCTTTCCTCTTGCCTCCATATTCTGTGTGGATTTTCTCTACCACGTACTGCTGTCTGGAAAAACTTGCTTTTTTATTAGGTTGTCTGCTTCCTTATTTGTTGTCTGTCTCTTCCTACTAGCCTGTCAGTTTGGTAAGGGTAGGGCCTTCGCTGACGTATTTATCTCTGATATTTAGAACAGTAACTGGCAGAGTAGGCGCTCAGATATTTGCTAAATGAATAAATACCTATATGTGACATCATCTCAAGTACGATAAATAATAACATTAATAAAGCTTTTCTATATGTAGTGCCTAGTACATAGTAGATGCTTATTAAATAATGGATGTAAAATAGCACAGTAGACTCAGTCTTCAGTACAGCATTATGCTGTATATTGTGGACTGACTTACTGATGTCTTCTAACACCACTCAGTTTTTATTAACTAAGTTAGTATTTGTAAGCAGATTGTACAGTTTTAAGTATTTGCAATCCTTTTATGCTACCAAACTTACTATGATATTATTAAAAAGTAGCTATTACTTTTGGATATTCTAAATATCTCACTTTGGAAAGTATACCTGTACAATACAATACATTCAGCACATCTGTTGAATCTACAATACATTATTTATGATATGCATCCTTAAGAAAAAAAGCTTTTGCCAGTTAATTGATTTTAGAGATTAAATTTTACATCTTAGAATGATAAAATATGGTTTTAAGAAAAAGGAATCTCCAAGGGGCTGGGGATTTAGCTCAGCGGCACAGGGCCTGCCCAGCAACTGCAAGGTCGTGAGTTCAATCCCCAGTACCAGAAAAAAACCAAAAAAAAAAAAAGAAAAGAAAAAGGAATCCCCTGACATACAGGCCCAAACAAATTGAGCTCATTGAAAAGAATAGTCACTGTCTTCTGTTGTAGGGAGTAAAAGGATATTCTTTGGGTTTGGTCAAGTTAATCTTTGACAGTGATTAATTTGACCAAACTCAAAGCTGTTTCTTTTACCCCAAGAGAGGACAGCAGGCCTAGGACTCTACGTGAGAGTATTACGAAGCTCATTTTGTGGTTAGGGAAGCAGTTATAAATCAGAGTGTTATTACCAAGTTCGGGAGAAATAGTTCTTCTAAAATCGTTTGTCATTCTAGTCACTATGTGATGACATTTTTATGTTTTAGAAACCCCATTAGCCAAAAGGATTGAAAATGGCAGTTAAAGTAGGAAACCATTAAAAGGTGCACACCTCTTGCTTTATTTTAAATTACGTAGTTGTAGATGGCTTCGTCCATCATTTGGTATTGAGGCACAAGATCTTTCGAGTATGAGTGATAGATGAATGTTCAGTGTCATTTTCCTCATGTAATTTATAACCGGGCTGTAGATTTTTCCTGTCTCTAGAGTGGAGCAAAAACTGACCCTTGCAAAGTATGGAGTCATTCCACTTAGTTTTCAACACTTTTCTTAACCATATCTAATTCAGTAGCATTTTTAATGGTTCACACTTCTCTGGTCATCCTAAAGCTGTCAATTTCTACGGACTCAGTCACTCCTTTGTAGTCGTATTTCATCAGTTCTCCTAATTTTATATCACACAAATAGAGTAACAAACGCAAGGGACGGGAACAGGTTTGGGAAGAGAGAACTGACACTGTAAGAGTGGAGCACAGAAGCAGCAGAGGCGTGTGGGCATAGTGGACAGTAGCCAGCCGGAGACGGCTGCCTGTCAGTTGTGGAATTTGAGAGATGAAGTGGTGAGCGTGGCTTTAATTGTGGGTGCTGTGTAAGTGAAGTTTTCATGTGGTTTACATTCTTTCTTTTAAAAAATCCAGATTTGATCCCTATGGAAAGAACAAGTTCTCCACTTGCAGGATCTGTAAAAGTTCTGTGCACCAGCCAGGTTCTCATTACTGCCAGGGCTGTGCTTACAAAAAAGGTAAGTTTCTTTTCGTGCCATTTTTCTATTACCCGCCCTAATTTATTGGCTGCTGATTTAGATAACAAAAAAGTAGTAGCCTTTTGTAAAATTTACTAGTGCTGTAAAACACTTTTTTCAAAGTAGAACTTAAAACATGTTCATAATAAAAGTGTATTTTTTTTCTCATGTCTGGTACTGTTCAGTAATACTTTAAGCTTCAGAGTTGACATCAATAATCCGAACCATGGATACTAGATTTTGATTGTTCACATGTTCTCTTGTTTCAGGCATCTGTGCGATGTGTGGAAAAAAGGTTTTGGACACCAAAAACTACAAGCAAACGTCTGTCTAGATGTACTGAAGAAATTTCTGGCTTTGTATAATTTCGCTTTGTGCTTTGAATTTTCAAGGCATAATGTAGATGTTTGACTTGCGGAGTAATCTGTTTCAAGACAGGTGATTAAATTTAAACCAGGGCAGTTGATCCTCGTTCCTTCTTTCCTTTGTTTTTGAGACAGGATCTCCCTATGTAGTTCAGGCTGGCCTCGAACTCGCAGTGATCCTGCTTCAGTGTCCCGAGTGCCACAGGCACGCCTCATTCTTTCGTATGCTCTCAATACTTTCTCTTTTTTTCTTTTTTTGTCTTTTTGAAACAGGGTCTCACTATGCAGTTCAGGCTGGGCTTGAACTCCCTTTGTAGCCAGGCTAGCCTTTAACTCACAGTGAGCCTCCTGCCTCAGCCTCCCGAGTGTTGGAATTACGGGCGTGCACCATCATGCCCAGCTTTCTCAAAAAATCATGCATAACATAACTACTCTTTTTGTTTTAAATGATTGTTTTCCTTACAAGCGTTTCATTGAAATAGAATAAGTAGCAAATTTAATGAAAAACATTTGAGTTTTCTGTGCACTTTTTGACATTCAGTGATTCTTATCACCTTCATTTATTTTATTTATAGTATTGAAAGAATGAGGGAATTGTTGATAATTTGTTCTGAACTTGGTATGTGGACTTAGAATTCTTCCTGCATTCCCTTGTTGGAGGCATAGTTCTTTGAATCAGCCATCCCTTAATTAATCGCAGTTTCCTAAGATATAATGATTAAGGCCATCATAACTGAATGGTCCCTTATAATTAGTCTGGGACCCAAGTCAAAGACAAGTTCGATTTGTGATTTATTATAAGTTTGTTTTTGAAGCCAAAGTGCCAGCTCCTTTCCTTCATATGTAAACAGGAACATGTGTCCAGGTAAATATACTGGATTTCAGAAAACATGTATTTGAATTTAGATCATCATAAAAGCCATGAGAACAGAGTTCGTCCTTGCTCATGTGTAATGAAAATGCATCCTCAGTCCTTAGGAAAGCTCTTTGACATAGAAAACTAACTTTTTTTTTTATCCTCGTCCTATCCCTCAAAGAAATAAATAGAACAAAGCAGATAGCTTGACTTTTTTTTTTTTTTAATATAATGTAGACTGTAAAGAAACTACTCTGAGGTTTCAAATGAAGATTTTTCTTGTACTACCTTCATAGGTTCAGGACTTCTAAACCTTACAACCTACTATAGAAAACCAAAAAGGTATTGTCCAATTTCCAACTGCCATGTGTGTAAATATGTGATACTATAGGACATGTAGACTACTATAGATAATGTAATAATACACATGGTATAGATTTGACATTTTTATCGTCTTAACATTGCTGTGAAAAGTAAAGTTTTAACTGTTCAATTTATCTGCAAGGTTTTTCATATAGTGTTTCTAGGATATATTATTATTTATGCATATCTAGAAAGATTGCAAGGATAGTGCAAAATAGAATAAATAGTACCTTTGAGAACAAAAGTATCCTCCCCTGCTTTTATTAATTTGGGGTTTTTAATTAAAACTGTAACACGAGGCACTCAAAATAGGACCTGTTCAGAAAGCATCTCAGATCCAATAAAAATTGGATTGGTGACTTGAAGAAAAATCCATTTCTCAGGAACCAACTGAGGCCTGGATTTGCACAACTCACCCTTTGTTTCTGCACCTTGAGTAGCTTCCTTCCATGAGTGGGTTCTTCGGTGGAAATTTTTACTAGTATACCTCAGAACAGAATAAGTGTTAATAGTCTTCACATTACCTAAGTAATAATATGACTATCATAAATTGAGTAGAAGTAGCTACTAGGATGAAAAGGAAAATCCACAAACAGAAAATGAACATAAAGTACTTCTTAAAAAGCAGATGTAAAAACAGAAACTAGGGCCTGGAATATAGCTCTGTGGAATCGCGCCTGCCTGGCAAGCCCCAGGTCCTGAGTTTGATGACCAGTACCAACAGACAGAAACTATAACAAAGTAAAATGTCAGAATTAAGGCCAAATGTAACTTTTATTAAAGTAAATGTAAAATAAAGTAAATGTAAAAGTGATAGAACCTATTTCTTCTTGTTTTTGTTGTTTTGTTTTTGAGACAGGGTCTCGCTCTGCAGTTCAGGCTGACCTTGAGTTCACTTTGTAGCCCAGGCTGGTCTGGAATTTGCAGCAATCCTCCTGTCTCAGCCTCCTGAGTGCTGGGATTACAGGCGTGCACTACCACACCCGGCTGAACCTATTTCTTAAAATCTCAGATTAAAATACTAGAAACAAATACCAATAGAATACCTAAGTCAATTTTATATATTCATTCATTAGCATATTAACCACCAAAATTACAGAATTACGAATGTGTGTAGACGTTTGTGTGTAGCTACGTTGAACACTAGAAGTTCATACTGTTTTCTCTGGGAGACACGAACCCTTTCCATCTTACACCAAATCTTCGAACACTTAATTCTCCTGCCTGGGAATGTAGAGATTACTAAGAGGTTTAGGAATATACATACGTGTGTACATACATGCCTATGTTTGTTCTGGGAATTTCAAGTAGAAGACTAATGTATGCACTGTTCTGCACTTTGATTTATTTTTAAATGTTTTATATATTTACTACCATTGTCTGTCCTTTGATAATATATTTTTTGACCCATTTGAGAGTATGTAGTGGACATTGTATTCTTTACCCTTTAATACTATATATGTACTTCGTAAGCACAGGCATCCTATTTTACCTAACTATAGTTTTTAAATTCAAAAATTTAATGTTGACACAGTAATTTACGGTCTGTATTCCAACTTCATTTGTCCCCTTGGTAACTTCAGCTATAGGACCCGGTCCAGAATCATACTGTATTGTTGTGACTATTTCATCTGTAACAGGTCCTCCTTTCTCTGTCTTTTGTAATACTGATATATTTGAACACATGGGACAGTAAAAAGGAGGACTATCCCTCCCTTGGGTTTTTACTGATGCTCCCTCTGGTTGGACTTAGGTTGTGCGGTGTAAGTGGGAATACGGTAAGTGACATGTCTTCAGGTTTCACATCCACATGGGCAGAATCTCCGTTTGCCCCTCACTCGTGATGTTAATTTTGATCACTTGGGTAAGATGATGTCCTGTGTCTGTACTTGTATACTTACTATTTCTCTTTTTGCAAGTATTGGGTAATTTGTGAGGAGGAATTTTGAGACCGTGTCGATAAATCTATTGCTCGTCACACCTGCCCTTCCTCGATTTAGCATCCTTTGATCATTCTTACCTGACTGATTTCTACCAGAATGTTTGCAAAATTGTTTGCAAAATTTTTGTAGCTCTAGCATTCTTTCTGAATGTATTAGTTGCTCTTCTGTAAAGAAGAATTTTCCTTTATCATCAGTTTAGAATGAACCTTTTTTTCTAAATTCTTTTGAGTGTTCATTACAGATGTGATATCTTTTATACGAAATACTTTTAAGTTTGTATTTCCTGAGAACAAGGATGTTTCGCCATATAACCATAGTACAATTATCAAAATCATAATATTAGCATTAGTTACAATATTGTTATCTAATTTCTTCCCTATTTTGATACCTCAGACTTTCGTAGGAAAAAAAAAATCTCATTTTGGATCCAGTCTGGGATAATAACATTACATGCAGCTGTCGTGTCCCTAGCGTCCTTTAATCTGGAAGAGTTCTCAACAAGTCTTTCAAAAACGCTATGGCCATAAAGCACATAGACCAGACTATTCTGTTTTATAGAATATCCCTTAATCTGGGTTTTACTAATGTTTCTTCATAATTAGACTAAGGTTGGCAGGCATGGTGGCCCATGCCTGTAATCCCAGCCCTCAGGACACTGAAGCAGGAGGATTGTTAAGGTTGGCAGGCATGGTGGCCCATGCCTGTAATCCCAGCCCTCAGGACACTGAAGCAGGAGGATTGTTGTGAGTTCGAGGCCAGCCTTGGCTACAGAGTGAGCTCAAG